TTCAAGAGGTACAAAAGTCCAATCACAGAGGCATTTCGATAAATATTCATGGCTATTTCATCCGTCGGGATTACCCTCGTGTTAGTTTATTAGAGAACTTTTCTACTGGCTGTTTTGATGGCATTTCACGGCGCGAAAGGAACATTTGATTGACAGCTAATGACAAGCTTATAACCGCTCAACGATCGGTCTGATTGGCTGTGTGAGGATAGCTGGAGGCCACAAGCATATACATTGATATTTTGCGAATGTTCAATGACGAGTGAGAGACTGTGAATGAGACCTCATTGCCCAGTGGCCCGGGGGAACGCCTGTTTGAGGGGATGATAGCACCAGAGAGCTATTGACACCGCGTGATTGAAAGTACTGTACATACCTCGGCCTGAAACGTGGACAAAGTGACAACGTCATTCAATCTCGCTGGATACATGGGAAAACGCTCTGAAATGTTCTGCTGTTAGAATAATTGACAAGATTTAAATGAAGAAATGTCAAGTTTGAAAGATCAACAGGAACTTTCTGAAACATCTCCTAAAAACTTCACGAAACAGCCATACGAGCTGGTGACACCACGAGAATGAAAGACTGTATGTCACTACCGCAAACAAAATTTCTGGAAATGATTTAAAACGGTGTTCAGGTTTAAAATGGATTTAGCCTTTATTACTGTTCATATCCATAACTGTCGCTGTTAAATATAAAATATGGACGATAAACACTCCTCTGCGACAACACCTTTCACGCAAAACACGAGACGTACTGATCGGGAGTGAACGCTTGTGTCTCGTGTTTTGTGGTAATACGGACCTATCATTCAAAGAATCGGAGCTCTGGGAATAGGAGTTTTGCAATCTTATCCTGTTTTGTTGAAGCTGACAAAACATTTTTCCCCACTCAGCTCTCTCATCAAGACATGCTGTTCCGTTTCCCATATTTTATGACGCTACCATCACTTTTCCGATGACCCGGAGCGACGGTTTCAAATAAGAAGCCCAGCCACATTATCAACGTTCAAAGACACTCGAGCTGGGAGAAAGTGTTAGTTTAAGATCATGGGACTATTTATTACTCCAAGTGAATAATCTGTCTGTATTCGCTTTTTCTGCCTTGGTGTATTTCCCCCAGGATATGCCAGTCAGATTGGAGAATATTGGAAATATCACCCCGCTATGTCTTCAGATGAATATTAGTATTTGCATTCTGAGCCAATATGTGATATGAATCCTGTGGGATACGCGTAATTTCGCCGAGAGATTTTCACTTTAAGATACATATATGAAAGTGTATTCGTTCAACAGTACATTCTGATCGATAACCTCTGGGTGTGAAGATCAGAGTTGCTCCAGCCAGGAAAAACTCTCTTATTGGAAGTATTCAACAGTATCGACGAAATGCGAGGGATGTGCACTGTTTGCAAAACTATCAGCTAATATCCCGAACGGTGTAATTGTGTCCTGAGATGTTTGTTTTCAAATATTCAGTTCCTTCAAGTGGATAAAAAAGTGCTATTTGTTCTGCTCTTACAGAGGATATTGACAAATGTGTAATCTGAACTTAGAGATTGATTTTAAGTTTGAAAATTACAACCGGAGTGAGTTTTGAATATTCAGGATTCAAAGTTTGTAGAATTTTAATTTTAAATAGCTGCACCAGCTGGTGGACGTGGATCCCTGGCTAAACTGGGTGCACATCTCAGATTGGGAATTACAGTAACAAGACGGAGCCCAGTGACCTCCCCAATTCGATTTACTGTGTAGACACCCGTCTCGGGGGATATTCGATTTTGGATGTCTTCTTCTAAAGAAGATTTGTAATTCTGTATGCATAATATTATGATGCCAGGATATATGGCCCTCTTTCTGTCTCTATCTATGGAGCATAGCTAAAAACGGAGAAATTTCAAATCGGATAACGTGACGAGAACTTGTATACACAACAATCTGCTATATTGAAATTACCTTTCATGTCTTTTGACGGATATATGACCGTGTGTACGGACAACGGGATCTGTATTATTCGCGGACCCATGTGATCATGTTCATATAATTATCTGCCGCTTTCTTCAAAGGCGATGTGGTTAGCTGTGTCCTAGCGGAAGGCTCTCGTCAATAGGTACATGGACTTTTCATAAGTGGGATTCTTCTACATAACAGCACAACGATTGGTTATAGAACGTGCAACTCTACCAGCACCATATACTTCCAGTTCATGCAGTTACCAGACATCCACTGTTTCTAAACAGTGTATAACATACCGACTTTGCACCAACATCGTTCCTCTACCGTGCTGCACTATTATTACTTATGTGGGAGGTATTCCGATGGATTAATTAGGTTATTGTGATAAACGAGGTATCTCGAAGTCACGTGGTTTTAACGTGAAATATTGTGATTTTCCAGAACATATTCGGATACTACATTTTCCTGTTTCACAATCACCATGGATGCACATTTGGTTGTGATCCTGTTAATGGGTTGTGTATTTCACTTTTTCACATACGCTGAAGGGAAGAAGACGCTTAAAATTGCTTGTCTATTGCCTGCTAACGACAACCGGTTGTTCTCAATACCACGAGTAGCTCCGGCGTTGGAGATAGTTGTCAACAGTGAACTTATAAAACAGCAGGTACTTCCCTTTCATAAGATTGGCATCACCTATGCTGATTCCCAGTGCTCAATTTCACATGGAATGAACGAAGCTATCAACATGTTCGTTGATGGACAGGTGGATGTATATTTCGGTCCGTGTTGTGACTACGCGGCCGCACCGGTTGCTAGGCAACTACGGTACTGGAACATCCCTATGGTAACAGCTGGAGCAATGGCGCGAGATTTTGCTCTATCCAAACTGTTTCAGTTCCCTTTAATGACGCGAGTTGGACCGAATTTTAACTCACTGGTCAGTTTCATCATTTCAATTTTACAAAAGTTTGATTGGAGCAGGGTGAAGCTGGTGTATGACCCAATAGGTCAAGCTCACGTGGTGGAGAAATTCTGTCACATAGCAACGGACGGTGTCCACTACGGCCTACGGACGCAGAAAGTCATCAAAAACTTCAAACAAGAATACTTCAAAGTTTGACTCCATCAAGGACATTCTGAATAAAATGGCGGTAGAAGTCGGCAACGAGTTTTCAAGTAAGTTGTGTTGTTGCAGAAACGGAGTTCAGAAAATATAAACATTTGTCCTAAGAAGTGAAGCATGCTTAATTCAGGTTGTATATATTCAACAGGTAACGTCTGTTGAGCTTGATAATTGAGAAATGATTCCCTATACACAGTGTGTGATCAATTTCTTGAACAAAATGTGTGTATAGTTGAAGTGAAGTGGTCATAAGTGGTTCTCCTATCGTCAATTATCCTTCGAAAAGAGATAATTGTATGTGTTGGCAGTTTCTTACATACGCTGAAATGGTTCAGTGGTGTATAACACACTGGGTAATTGAGACGGACAATCTGAGATTTATGAAAAAACAAAGCAACAATGTCCATGATTTACCACAACTGGTCAAGGCAGCATTGCATCGGCCATAATATATACTATTCACACTTTGCTAAGGATCCAATCATTGATTCACAACATGTACTATGTGGGGTCAAATTTGGTTTAAATATCTAAGCTTATTGTAAGTATGGATCCTAGTTTTCAGTATGTCATTTCATCATGTGGATCCCATACCTGCTATTGACAGGTGTTGTGTACATGTAAATGACTCGTTCCATGATTTGCAAAATGGTTGATTGGTGCCATGAACACCATTTTTATGATTACTCATGTATCAAGTGCATAAGGTTATATTAAAGTGACTGTTTGCCTAAATAATGGTTACTAATATTATGATTTATCCAGTTTTAAATGGATACAATTTCAAATTGTAAATCTATGTTTAAGTAAAATTGGGAATTTTTGTGATCCTTAGCAAAGTGTGAGTAGTATATGAGACGGGCGGATTCCCACTTAACCGAGAGTGTTAAAGACATTGCTTGTTAGCTGGTAAGGTAAGTTCTATGTCCAGCAGCTGCTTGTCATTCATTATGTCATTCACACCTCGGTGTAGTGGCTCGTTCTGGGACACTCTGTTGAGAAACCGGTGCCTTGTTGACAAAAGTCCTTGACTGTCAGATGGGGATTTCCCAGACGTTATAGACAGTGTAGAGCCTCTTCAGACAGCGGTTCCTCCCGACCTAGCTTACCGATCAGTTACATAATAATATGCTGGTATGTACATGGAGTGGGGGATGCTATCACTTTATATTCTGACGAAAGACATTTGGATTCGTTCAGAAAGTGACACAATTGAAACACGGAAACTGATTATGTAAGGAAGTGTTTTGTGACTGTTATATGGCAATATTGCTTTTTTCTGTCTTTAAACTGGTCTTTCGTTGAGTCGTTGGAATTGATGGTCCATGATGGTCCATCTGTACCAACCAGGTAACACGGGAATAACGGGGTCCGATGGTCAGACTGGCTGACATGTGTGATGTTTGAATATCTCTTCGCGTTCATCAATGCACATAAAGTTAGTCACGGTATCGTATGGTGGAGACTCAACGATTCTGAGAGTAGAAGCAGGAAACAAAACCAAATCAACCCTGAAGAAGTATTCGTAGGTTGTCAGACACCTATCAAACTATTATCCATGTCATGTTATAAAAAGTTGAAGATACAGAGAAATAAAGATCAATCGGTGCTTCATTTTTTATCATGTGCATATTTTGACATGTGAAGGGAAAAAATATTTCCAAAATAAATTATCTATCAACAAAATTTGACGTACGTTTACAATGCTTATTAAGGTTAACGTTTGCAAGCATTTCATGGCCATTGCTAAGTTATTGCTTGTCAATATTTATATTGTCATTGACATATTTTAGCATTTGTGAGAGGATAATCACTTCTGTCCGTGCTTAGGAGATTTGCACATTATTATACAGTATGTGAAATAGCCACTAGCCCGCTAGCTCGTGGCTACTAAAATTCCAGTCAGTCCAGAAAACCTCTACAGTCACTGGCCCGACTGGCTAGTGAATTTTCATGGGGTCATTTAGTAAATAAATCACTCTCTCCGACTCGTTAAGCTACTCGCGGCCGTTTTACTTACGCTTGACCTGTTTAGTACTCTAGTTTGGTAGTGTGTTGAATAATGTTTCATTGCCTAAAACGGAAGAAAGGGAGTGATCGACTAGACCTCCAAGAGTTACCTCCCTTTGTACACAATCATCGCCCATCGTATGCGTACTTGAACACACTATTTTGTGGATTAGCGGATGTATACTTGAACACACTATTTTGTGGATTAGCCAACCATGTGTAGTGTTGAGAGACGGTCTACACTTGTGGCCACATGACGTCCACTGCAGAGAAAACCGTTGTTTTAGGTGATACTGTCTAAAGTGTAATTAAAATGTTCAGAATAAAATGTCATAAACATCACACACATTGTAACTGAACCGATAACACATCGATGGCTCAAATTGAAACCAAAGTCCTGTCCATCAAGTAAAATATCGGATTTGTGCCTGAGACAATTCACTGTATTTAACTAGCTTTGTCCCCGTTCCACGTCCACAGCTGGTTTAGTGCTGTGTCCTGTTGGTGTCTACATACCTATCTGGAATGAGACTTTTGTCTAGGGCTGCGCAATAAAACCGGTTTACCGGTATTTACCGGTTCAGACATTAAAACGATACGTATTGCGATACGTTGATCGAAAACCAGTATTTTGACTTTCATTCGGAAAACGTCGTAACACTCAGAAATCTTCGGATATTTCCTTGTTTCATTTGTGCCAAATACTATTTACATTTTTTGTTGTTGTCATGATCAAAAGTTTTTATTGAAGCTTAATCAAGCATGGTGATTTTGTTGTGTTCATGCTTTATAAATCAAGCATTAAACTCGATTATACGTATTTTTGTTTAAAAATACTTCTTGCAATATATTGCAATACATATCGCAATACATGCTTTCGCATTGCAATATGAAACTTCTCTGCAATACCCACCCCTGCTTTTGTCCCAAGGGCACACCATTCAATCAGAAAAAATGGTTGATTTTGTTCAAAAGATCGCTGAAGGTTATATAATGAGAGTATTTACAAAAATGACTTTGCAACTGTTTCACATCAGTGAAAGTTTAAAAGAACAATATCCGACTTATGTGATAGACGAAATATGTACTATTAATTTGTTTTTGATCATGAATGCACAATTCATAATGTCGTCACATGGTATTCGGATGAGTCCCACAGAAGCACCAGAATGTGTCGTTTACCCATTAAATATCAATCCAAAGTTGACAATATAACTTTTACGATTTTCCCAATGGCAGCGTGTTTTCATACCTTTCGTCCATGACAGCCGTATTTACAGTTGTCAGAGGGGTAGACAAAGTACGGCTCTTGATTACCAGTTCTCGGTCGTACATCTTTGTTGTAGACTCGCTGGTTGAGTAGGACGACTTGGTACCTCTCTCTGTTAGAGTGAGTTCGAATCCCGGATGTGACTCAATCCCCTAAAGCTCAAGAAATCGTAATTTAATGAGAAGTCGGAAACATAACATTTCGATTAAATCATCATTGTGTTTTCATAATCATTGACAGTTACGGATGACTATTCAAGAAGCTGTACACATTCAGAAATTGGTTTATATACAGTACAAATGTCATGACGTAATGTTTAGTGAATGCTTTGTGTACGGTACTCGTGGTATTCCGGGTTCGATTTCTAATATTAATAAATGACTTGAATAATATGATCGTATATAGCACATAACACAACCCTAACCACCCACTATGATGCATGTATTGACGATGAAGTGGGTAGTTTTACTGTGAGGGTTAAATCAAATAGGCTATGTTGAAGAACAATTTTGATGTTAATATCGAGAACAAACGGATGATGTGTTTGTTTGCGAATGGGTTCAGTTAAACTATGAAACAAAACCAAAAATGAGCTGGTAAAATGTATTCTGAAATAAGCACAAGTACTTCAGACTCGACGTAAATCAAAAGCTCACCACTAATGCGTGATAGCTGGATGAATCAGAAAACTAAATCCTTGGTGCCTCCTGCAAAATGACGGATTTAGGAAGCAGCGTAATTGAGCCCACTGGGGGTAACAATACGGACACACTAGAACGTAAAGTCGATAATTTCAATGAGGCTGTTTGGTTTATTCAATATCACATGTATGACAACACAAACGCTTTTAATCTGCGAAAATAAGTTAACTCTTTTTTAAGAGAAACCTGTCAAGATAAGTTACTGTGATACATGTTGTTTTCATAGCCTTATGGTGCGAAATTATTGAAGCCAGAATCATTGTTCTATCTACAGGGACGGTGGGGTAGCCTAGAGGTTAAAGCGTTCGCTCGTCACGCCGAAGATTGGGTTCGATTCCCCACATGGGTACAATGTGTGAAGCCCATTTCTGGTGTCCCCCGCCGTGATATTGCTGGAATATTGCTAAAAGCGGCGTCAAACCATACTCACTCACTCACTCTATCTGCAGTGTTTTTGTGGAAATCGATGACCAGCATTCACAACGTGTTGGCCGGTGGATTGTGAAGTTCCTGTGCATGTGAACCTGACGTGGAGGGGCAAGAGATTTTACGAGCGATTCAATGGCTTTGGAAAAGCCCAAACTCATATTTCGTTCACGGTCTCATTTCGTTCAAGAGACAATGTATCCATCACACATTGTGCGGAGTTTTGTTTAAAAAGCTACTGATGGTGGGCAATGGTTATCAACATTTCTTTGTGCATTAATATTTAAAGATTCAGAGACAAACTCTTAATGGAATGTGTTGTGTTAAAAGCATGATGTCAAAAAGTGCTAGTTCCTTTCTCCGCCTTGCTCACTATGCACACTACTTTCATATGGTATTCCGTATCTGAGATACTTTGAGTTCACGCATAAATATTCAGTAATTAAAGTGCTCCACATATTTCAAAGTGGACATGCATTATTTACCGTTATTGTGACGAGATGTATGAGAAACACGTTAAAAAGTGTCTTTTGAGCTTTGTTTAATCTGACTTCGTTAGCTCAGAGAGGGATTGAGTGATCTTCTAAACACGTCTTGCGATCAACTCATGGTTTAAAGTCTATGAGTATCAAAAAGTGTAAAGGGCTGTTTAAACGATATCTCATCTAGTATATATGCATTTAAATATACTCATGTACTGTGGTTATCTTCAACATTCGCCCCCGACGTCGTTTCATGGATCGTTGACAGGCTGACTTTGATTTTATATACAGTCTTTGTGTAGTCCCCGGACCGCTTACGCTCAAACAACTGTGAACACTTGTTACTTGCGTGACACCGGTGAAGAATCGGGTTACAAAATGGTATTCAACAACCTAAGTTCGTGTGATGAGAGGCGACTAACAGGATTGGGTGGTTTGCGTATCCCAAATGCAAAATCGATGAATTTGATGCCAATCACTGGATTGTTTCACATAGCCGAAATATTGTTGCTTGCGATGTTAACAGACAAAACAAACAAACCTTCTCGAAAGAAACAGACAAGACCAGTGACTGACATTAACACGTGCATTTGATATGGTTCCCTGTCTCTGTTTAACAGCTAGACACTGGAATATGGTTCTGACAATGACATGCCTACGAGTCAAGTATGATGTCAGGAACATTTGTCACCGCTCGCACCTTTCCCTTCGTTCAAAAGGCGACAGTCGCAAATCAAGTTCTGTTGACTACAGGCGAACAAGCACTTGACGTGAAAGTGCATTTGTTTGCATTCAGATTGAGATATACTCCAAGGAAACGGCATTTTGGAAGCTCACCTATAATCCCAAAATTCATGTTTTATCTGAAAGTGTGGTGGAGCTCCATTCCTATGTGGATGAAGATAAACAATATTTTCTATATGTTTATTCAATATTAAACACATGTCACATCTAAAATGAAAGCCGCTTTTCATGTTATTTTTGTTCAGTTCAAGTTTTACTAGGATTTTCTTGGACTCATTCCCGTTTAAGATGAAAAGACAACATCGGGATTGTCCTGCCTTTTTGACAGTCATGCATATTAACCGATGCATTTCTTTGTGGACTGATCTGTTATCCATGGCAAGTCTCCTGGTATGTTTGTCAATTATCGCTTAATGAATCCTGTAATATCGTAGATACGTGTCTTCCATTAGAGTGTAAATCAAATCGGACATGTAACTTTTCAAAAGAAAGCTGCCGTTGAGTTACATGTGACAAGACAGCGCTCTTTGAAGCTGATTTTATTTGATACTTGATGCGTTATGTTTCTGAAGTTTTTTCAAAGTTCGACTTCAATATTCCTCATTAACTGACAACGGAGGAAGAGGACAGAACATGACAGTAATTTACTTTGTGGCGGTAGACATAAAAACGAACTACGCGGCACTCCTGAATCTTGACAAGAATCCTATTTTATCCTATGTATTTAAAAATCGTTTATTTCCAATAAACCCAAAATACATACATATATATTTTCAGATATAATGTATGCCCAAAGATATTTGCCCCACATTTGTTCACATAAATATACTCATGCGTAAGTCTTTCTTAACACTGGAGCGGAGAACGTTGCACGCGACAGAGAAGGTGTGGTTCAAGTAGAAATTGCGATACTGTGGTGTAGCAGGCTGGTGCTATTGCCTTACTTAGCTACTTGTTTAGAGCGCTGAACTGATGTTCAGGGCTGGTCACAATTTGATCATCTTGCGTCTCTTCTCGTCGGCACCGCCCACGATCAACAAATACACCTGATCTCAAAAAGGCATTACCAGGAATAACAAATCTAGATTTAAGGTGGGTGGAATGCCAGACATATCCTTTTTCAGCGATTCCACTGGGTATTGTGGTTGTCTCGTCTTGTCGAAGATATATAATTTAAAAGAGAGACGCCATTCCATCGCGGTAAGGGGTAAACAATGATCGCGTGCAGTAAGAGGGTGAAGTCAGATAGTGGTACCACATCGTATCTAGGGATGGTGCCCCGTCTTTCTTCTGATAAAGGAATTTTGATGTGTTATGTCTACTTTGAAAGGACCGGTGGGAAAGCCTAATGGTTAATCGCTCGTCGAAGGTCCGGGTTCGATTCCCCACATGGGTACAATGTGTGAAGCCCATTTCTGGTGTCCCCCGCCGTGATGTTGCTGGAATATTGCTAAAGGCGGCGTAAAACCCTACTCACTCACTCTACTTTGAGAAGGGTGCTACTGCCGTATGTAATATGCAAGTAGTTGTGGCTACGTTGATGTGATACGTCTACACTGTTGCTTCCCTTACATGCTTTTTTATTTCTTGTTATGCTTATAGGGTGCTACCATGCTGCTGTCATTGACGGTACGTTAGTAAAGTGTTGCTACGATTTACATGTTTCACGCTGAGTGGATGCAACGTTGCAAGTTCGTTACTGTGCTGTCGCAAGGTTTACAATGAGCTGCTGTATTTGCAACGTTGGCAATGTGTCACGACGATGTTGGTACATTTACATGATGCTACTATGTTGTTGTTACGTTGGCAGGGTACTACTACATCACAGCAACGTTGACAGTGGGTTTCTACGTTGTTGCTACGTTTACACGATACTACTACGAGTTGGTACGGGAAAGGTTTGGAAGTCAACACTTATTGAGCTATAGGAAGTCTACTACACACTCGAGCCTAAGACAAATGGTTTGAACGCTTGATCTTGTAGATGTTTTGAGAGAACTTAACAAGGATTTAAGAAATTATACCTGGTGGAAAAAAACCCTCTAGACAGCAAGCAAGACTGGATTTCTTTTAAATCTCACAAGACTTATTTAATATTGAACTTGATTCTGATATCTTACCTGGATATAAAACAGATCATTCTGCTATTAGCTTTACTTTCTCCAACACTATAAATCCGGAAAGAGGGCGGGGTAATTGGAAATTTAATACTTCCTTACTTTTACGTCCTGAATATGAAGATTTAGTTAGATCAATCCTGAAAGAAACAATAGATTTCTACTCAGATACTGATAGCAAGGTGAAAAATATAAATGGTTCTGAATTTAAACTCAAGTTTAATGACTAAGGTCTATTTTTGGAAACATTTTTGATGACAGTTATAGGAAAAACAATTTACTTTTCATATTTCTTAAAAAGAAAACAAGAGATAAGACTAAGGAATTGGAAATTAGAATGAAAGATTGTGAAGATACAATTAGAAAATATTTTCAAAATATAGATCAAACCTTACTTTCAGAACTTGCAAAACTAAAAAGGAATTGCAGCAAATTAGGGAAGAAGAAATGAGAGGCATTAGTTTAGACTGCCTGACTGACTGAGTTTGGTTGTACGCCGCTTTTAGCAATTTTCCAGCAACATCACGGCGGGGGACACCAGAAATGGGCTTCACACATTAGTTTAGAAACAGAATCTTAATGTATGAAGAGGAGAAAAACCGACAAAAAAATTCTGCCATTTAGAAAATAGAAATTATGTGAGCAAAACAATCAACAAAGTCATTACGGATAAGGGTGAGGAAATTACTGACAGTTATTCTATCTTATTAATGAACTTATGGAATTATATTAAAAAACTAGATTCTTCAGATAAGAAATATGAAACATATTCTCTTTTTAAAAATGTGATAACTCCAACCTTGAGAGACCAACTGAGAGACAAATTGTAAAAAAGACAATAAAAAGCAATAAAAAGCATGAATAATAAATGGATTGAAACGGACTGGTGCACGAGGTGTTGTTTCGTTTTGTGTTCAACACTTATTGGGCTACAGGAAGTCAACTCCAACATAATCGAGCCTAAGATAAGAACACCAATGGCGAAGCGTAAGCAACGGCCTACGTCATTAGGTTATGGTTATGCTACACCAGTCGTGTCAACACATGCAATATCATATTTTGTTAATCGGTTCTTAGGCTAAGCAAAGTTAGCAAAGTTTGTCTGCAACCTTCATTGCGTTTTAAGCTTAAGGGACAGGCTGTCATGTTGTTATACTCCCGGATATGTTAATCTGGGTTCGTGCCGGGTTCGACTCTACACACTGGAACAATTGTCTGGAAATTCCCTTTTACCAGTTTTGGTGAAACGTATGGGCAAGTGTGGTGCCAAAGATAAACATTGAATCTCGGATCTCGGACTCAGGAATACATTCGTCAGTTACTGGACAGCAAAACGCAGCGGCTGAAGCCTAAGAGTGTGAATTCTGTGTCATGACGATGTCTGTAGCCCTCGAGAAATGCAGACACTGAACATGAAGCTGGACTCGTGTGCCTGCTTAGAATTAGCCATAAGTTTCGACTAATCATTAAACCATAGTTCCTTTTATACATTGGAGACTCTTGACAGACGTGGACCCCAGCATGAGAGCTGTGTTGTGTTTGTTGGGATTTCAGTATTTCAAATAAACACTTTGCTGACATTTACCGCGAACTAGAACCGAGAGTAATTTCGTTTCTGTTTCGTTTCATCTGAATAGACTGTCAGCACAATGAAGTAAAGAGTCGCAGAGGAAGAACAGAGCCTAACTAAATATAACTAATTGACTTCCAGATGACATTAGCCACGTCGAGACTTCACCCAAACCATCGACCTGAATCAATACGTTTGTTTCACAGTGGTGCGTTTAACACAAACCTCGGGCACATAAACACTAGCAAGATTGTTATCACTCCCCTGGTGCTGGGAATTCTCGCATGCTTTACACCAAAACTGAAAGTCATTAAATGTGTCTTGTCATAGGAAGAGTAGAGCTCTTGTATCAATAGAGCTCACAATTTGTACGACACTAAGTCTTTACAATGTACCAATCTCAGACAAGACGAGGAAATCTTGGATCTCAAACAGTCTGTACTTACTGGATGTCAAAGGATGGCAAGTCCCTTCATCTGGCATCGGTCGCAGGTGCCTGCCAACAAGACCAGGATCTTTAAGGGGTTTCGTATAATCAAGCGAACACATGGTTCGTCATTGAAGCCGATAATAGACGGGATTAATAATGGTAAGCGTTAGTGAAGTGAACCAATAGGAAGTGATAAATGCTGACAATAACGTCACATTCACATCCATTTGATCCCTGTGGGGAAAGCTGTGAGTGGCTGAGGTTTGTCACCATCTCTACAAATTTTGGAGAAAAATAACAATAGGTGAAGCGAGGAAAAAATACCTACTGTCCATTTCAGGAACAGAACCAAGGTCTTTTTCTTGGCAAGACGACCCTCAAAACACTATGCGACCACACATCCCTTTAAGTCGCTGTAATATGTTTTGATTTCGAAGTGTAATAACACCCATTATTACACTTACAACATGCCTTAAGTAATTTATACGTATCAGTTTGTGAGCGTGGTTTTAAGCTTCTGTAAAAACAGTATTCCTGGTTCATAAAAGGGAGGTTGAAACACGTGATACAGTGTATCTAAACCAGAATCGAACACTGCTTCTCGGCGTGACGAGCGAACGTTTCTTCCATTTTGCTGCCCCAACAACTTCAGCGTGACAGCTTCCAGAGTTACATTTCATTGTCCCCGTCGCGACCCCAATCATAGTGCCTTGTCCGGAACAAAGATGAAACAGATGAAAAAATACCGTTGAAATCTGAAACCATTTGCATATTGATATTGTTTAAGAAACATTTTTTGTGGATGAGTTAAAGATCCCTGATCCCTGTCATGAATATCACCCTTTTAGCCCCATTTAGGCCCCTCTCAGAACTACATCAGCTTGCATAGAAAGTCGGGATCTATCTTAAAGTATGACACATCTGTCATGGATATGGTTTCAGAAGGAGATTGGTTGCGGTTTTGCATGGAAATCAATATTTGGAACAAAAACGTTTTCTTGCCGCTGGTGGGATGATTTGTTCAATAGCACTTGTTCCTAATACAAGGCGCTGTATCAGGATAATTAGAAGATTGCATTAGGAAATGTGTCTTATGATGCGGGGAAAGAAGTGCCTGGCCCTTGGGAACGTTGGAACTCGTAACGAGAAGCACAGATGAAATATCGTCAGAAAAAAATATGTAAACGTTAATCTGATAAGTGTTTCTGTGTTAAATTACGACCTTGACAGTATTACTCTCCTGTAGTCAGTTTGGTCTTCAAGAAATGTTTTGTCGGGTCTCGTTAATAGAAGTGGCTGAGTAAATGTACAACTTTCTAACACGGTAGAAGTAAATTCGGGATTAGCACTGTGAGCGTCTATAGCATAACACAAACAAATTAATCGTATTATCGTAATTATGTGTTAGTTAGGCGATTCTGTGACGCATTTACTTTCTACGCATGATTTGTCCTTCAGAGAAATATTGACATTTAGAGTTCTCTTCCAGACAGGCATGAACAAAGCAGCATACACAATATACACACTTAGGCATGAACAATCCCTTTGTCCACATACACAAAATATACACAATTAGCAAAGACCAGGGGAGGCGCAAGTTACTTCCATCTGCTTGTTTCTAAAACAAACGTGTTCTGGATGGACATTTTCTGGATTTTCCAATGCAGGACAACGACCCAAAAAACATTCGTTCAAAGCATTCACAGGCCTGGTTTTCTGGACCCAAAATATGACATTATTAGATTTGCCGCCCAAAATACTTCGATAGCCCTGACCCCCTCTGTGTATTTGAAGGGAATATGAACAATAGAAAATGTTTGGGGGACTTTTTGATTTTCCAGCAGGACAACGAAAGTATCAATACAGGCCTGGTTTTGGACCCAAAATATGACAAAGATTTGCCATATAGCTGACCTAAATCCAATAGAAAATGTTTGGGGACTTGTGAAGGTCCGATATTGGGAAAAATCTGAGGTGGTCCGATATTGGGACAGCATGGACCGCGACTTTCTAACTTCTTTGATCAGTAGTATGCCCCGCCGCATTGAAGCCTGCATTGCTGCCCATGGTGACTTGACAAAATACTAACTGTTCACATGTCTTTGAATCTGGAGTTATGTTCTGCTAATATTCACATTTAATACGTGAGTAATGAGTGAAAAAAATATAAGAAATACAGTCTTTAAATTCTCAATAATTTCTGGTTGTACTGTATAACATTGGTCCTTCGTTGTCAGCAGTTGTCACATTAACACTTGACAAGTAATATTTTAACCTTGCGTCCGATGTTGATCATACAGCACGACTACTACAGTGTTTCACAATAAAGCAAATTATGGTTGACAAGTGATACCCTCAAAAGGTATTTCAAGTGAGATGAGGCGCAGATATGTTCTCTTGTAGAATTGCACACTATTGGCGTATATTTTGTCCATAGATAAGACTGTTGATCTGTTGATTTAGGAAGTAGTTTTACGAGTGTTTGAAAACTACAGCATCATTCATCATGAAGGCATCGACGCTATCAGTCAAATGACGTTTATCAAAAGGTATCTTTTGTTCGGTTTGGTTACACTTTATAAGAAAACCCACGCCAACATCAAGAGTATCAATCGTGACATGTCAGCATGCGTCAAGGAAGCGGAATGGTAAGAAATGTGAATGTAAGTATGTGGTGTTAATAACGCTCCCACATAATCAAACGTCAAAAGCCTCAATGTTACTGCTATCTGCTGGAGACACCGATTTCTCACACAAACTCCCGTGATTGAAGCCTGATTCGATATCATTAACAATCTTCCAGAATCGACCAGCAACAGACAATTGTCAATGTAAAATCAGTGTATGCTCAGCCACACTCCTGGCATATTGGATGCCCATGTAACAGCTATTATGCCAGGTTACAGTGTAAATATTTCATTGAGCTGCGTGGCAGACCCGTAGGCGACCTATGTTGCTACGTTTGTACAATTTAACAAAGTAAGTGCATGTTTAGTAACACATAAACATTTCATTGGAAAAAAAGGTTCTTTAAAACAGGTTCGTGTCTCCACGTCCTTTGAAGTTTTTCAAGTGCCAACCATTCGACACTGGTTCAACATCGGGGGACTGTTGTATGAACTTCTCTGATGTATCAATGTCAAATGTTCAGAAATTGCAGAAACAATTATCGTTCATATGAAATCCGTCTAACTACGAGAAACTCTCAACTGACGAATAATTGACATGCTAAGTTGTCACGTAATTTTCCAAATGAGATCGTCTAAGCAGTTGCCACGAAGATACGATTTCCGAACCAGTCCCTCGCACAGAATTGTCAATGTTATATGTTTTTTTTAAAATATGACTTGTATAACTTTCTCGTTTCTAATTACTTTTTTGACGAGACAGGCTTGTGATGCTCAGATATTTATTCATGTCTGTCTTCGATTGCATATCTTAAAAAGTAATCTGGATTCTATTGAGGCGACATCAGTGAGCCACGACCTTTACTGGGGAAATAGGACGATAGGTTATGATCAACAGATCCAGTCTTCCCTGCCAATAGGAGGCTAAGTACTGCGTGATGTGAGCAAATATTGGACGTATGGTGTGCAAACAAAATTTGTTTCATAAGAGGATAGAAAGTAAATAAAGGAAAAAATCGTGGTTAATTCTGTGATCAAGCGGTCATGATAACAGAGAAATATATTCTAACGAGCTCCCCGTTGACTTAACGGTAAGTCGCCACCGTTCGATGAGGAGTAACGGCAGGAATTCATGCAGTGTAATGTATATAGTGCTATCATCATCTTCAGGCGGACACCAGATGTTGACATACAGAGCAGCTTTTGGTACCATGAGCGATATGCAATATGAATAATATTTCCTTTCTTGCAAATATATTCTGAGATGAAACCCTTGTGCAGTCGGGATCAATTACAGCATCATACTGATAGCTTGCCGTTTTCATCTTCATCCATCACACACAGTTCATTAACTCCAATATTGTGGATCTAACAGGGGGATATAGCACACATTAGATAGGTACAGATAAGTTATGATTGTATTCTTCATAAATGTCGTTATACATATCAAGTTTGTTGTATTCGTTACAAAGTACAACATACCAGTCGTCCATTTCTGTTTCCGTGGGGATGGGAATACTCACATTAATGTTTTGACAAGATTCAAGAAGAACATGGCAAATATGCTGACCTCACTTACGAAATGTCAAGTTTGCCAAGTACCAGGTAGCCCGACTCCCCGTTGACTATGGTGCCTAAGGTTTGGTACCCCCCAAATCTGCCCACTGACATGGGGAAAGCATCCGGCCTTGCTGCCAACTAAATCCCTTTCTGAAAGTAAAGCAGAAGGCTGAAATGCTGTGGAGTCTTCACATTCACCGAGAAGGTTGAAAAGTGGCGGGTTCCACTTGGAAGTGCTTCCTGGAAGAAGATCCATTTGCTCTCTGGAATGATTAGCCTTACCAGTCTGACTTTGACACACAAACCTTCATGTGTTGCATTCATGTGTTTTAATCTGTAAAATAGAGAAAAATACAGACAGAAAATTAATAAAAAAGCCAAGGATGTAGGTTTCATCATCTTAATGTCAATTTTGATTTTGTTCCTGATATGTTACTGCCGGACAATACAGAGATGAACTGCAACCCAGTTGCTGTTTCTCTTGATGTTGAAATGAGTACAAGATCATTGTTGGTATGTTATCATTGATATCATAATCATCATTATCATCATCAATACTATCATTATGACTGTGACGGTCACTCATGTCATGTAGAGTGGGCTGAAGGAGCTATACCGTGTCGCGGCTGCATCAGACACCCAGCGGAGTAGAAATGAGATGTCTGTCTGTCATTGCCTTAGTTAACGTCAAGACGGTAAAGTGTTGTTCAGACAAAACATATCACTCACTGAGCACCAGACATCTTCACCTCGAGAGACTGAAGCACGTTTTTACATGGGCCGGGACAATAGGTTATCATAGAACATCACTAAGTCTTTCATCTAGTTGAGGAGGTCTGGAAGAGTGGGCGGAAGGTGTTCGAGAGCGATGATAAGTGTGGTTTTAAGCGTCAGGGCGTGTTATATTGGGAAGCAAATGTCCTAAAGTTCACCTCTTGGACACTGTGGCATAAAACAACATCAAGGTGGCCTCATCCGCTTTCTGGAGTACGACTATGTGGGTCGCTTCGGTTGTTTATCGACTCGGACTATGTTCCACCAAGCCAGACTCGTCGTAGGATGAGACTAAATATATCTGTCGACGATACGGACGGCCAGTAAATAAGATTTTGTAAAATATAGAGTCAATTACTTTGATGGAAAGGTCTTGATATCTTTTCTCTGACATTTGTACGAATAACGTTCAGCTTGTGTTTCTCCAATCTATTTCAGGGAGAAGAATTTGCCCAGACGTCTAAGATGTTAATTGTGTTGGGCCCAACAAATATTTGCTATCTCGAATCCCAGTTTCGCCGTGATTATATTCCTAGTTTTGTCTACAACATACCCGTAGTCGTGAGTTTCAATTCTTGCCTTATTTTCACGCCACATTGTAACACATTGCCCCGCAGCTATCGATTTGTTTCACTCAACATGACCAACAGCTAAGCAATGTTGTTATTTTTTTTTAAATGATCACCATTGACCCCCATTGTTGTAACACTCGGGGTGGTTGGGTAGCTTTGTGGTTCAAGCGTTCGCTCGTCAGTGTGTCGGGTTCGTTTCTCCGCATGGGTACAATGTGTGAAGCCCATTTCTGGTGTCCCCTACAGTGATATTGCTGGAATATTGCTGAAAGCGGTGTATAAGCATATTCACTCCCTCGCTGTTATAATACTCGTGAACACATACTGTACAACACTTTGATTGTCAACGAGGTATCGCATTTTTTAATTATTCTATCAAAATTTTAAAATCGATGAAAAAAAAGAAAAGATACGCCCGCACTGTTCTGTAAAATGTCAGGGACTAGCATCACTTCGTACTTTGC